AATCAGCCGTTTTGTCGTTTGTGCCTCTTAGACCTTCGGGTAAGAAGGCTCACGCATTCGACATTAGTTATGCTGCAGTCAGTTGCTTTTCGCGATAGCCTGTCTCTTGGCCTCTTGGGAGTTTTACGAACTGACTTGGATGCCTCTGGTCGTCCCAACCTTTCTACAGCATACGCCGCCGTCTGCAACAGCAATCAGGATGCTTGCTTCCTGGAGACTCAGCAATGTGCCAAGAGGCCAAGCTGGGTGTGAGAGCCTTCGGGCTCGTCGGCTTCACTGTTGGTGCTTGCAGCGCGACTTCCTGTCAGCTAGGTCCAGCTAGATGCGGCGGATGGCATGCGCAACTTGTCAAATTATTCCGACTCCCACTTGGCGGCTTGCGTCATGTCTGTCACATCCATGCTGCTATACAGCTCTGTGCTTGTACCTCGCCTTTCGAGGTTTTACGCCCATCTCTTCGACCTCAGCCAACGGGTGAAGCTCTCAGCTGCTGCATCTGGGAGCCCAAGCATCATGCAGGCAGACACACAGACCATGCTACGAGTAGCCGTTGCTCCTGCAAACTCTTCCTTCACATGACCAATGACTTAAGATTCTCGTATGTAATTTTACGGTTGCCTCTTAATGGAGGGTTCAGGATGGTTCCAGACCACCGGGCCGGGATGCCTTGCATGGAGGGTTACAAGAACTTCCAACAATGTCTAGACTAGACCCCTGCCTCCACTCATGTACTGCTCAGTCGAAGTCGTGCAATTGTCCTGCTAGTCTACGCCTCCTTTAAATGCTGCGCTCAAGAGCCTACTATTTGCCGCGAGGAGATCTTCCTCGGCGAGTCGGGGGCTGCGCGGCCCTGAGCGAAAATTCCGAGTCCACCCGGCGCGCAAAGTGCTGCATTGAAAAGCTATGCCAAGCAAAGCCCTGCTCTGGCGCCTGAACCACGGATACGGGTGAGTCGGCCCAGGCATTGGTCAAGTTGGCCTCCCAGAGTCGAATCAAGGCCGATCCACGTGTGTCGCTTCGTTGAGACACTGTGGCATGAGCACGATTCTGCAAGAGGCAGGGCACCAAAGTGTTGCATTTTGCAGTGAGGCAGTTTCCTTGCCCCAGGCGCGCCGCACAACAGTCGCAGCGAACGACGTTGCAAGTTGACTGGGCGTGTTTTTATCTTCCAGGCTAGGGCCGGGAAATTGTGTCCGGTAGACCGAACATCCCGGATGCGATCCAATGTCTGGAATCTGGCAAGCCTGAATCCCAAGAGCCCAGAGCTCGACACCCTCGCAGACTAGTTTGATGCCAAACTGCTATTACTCCCCAGCAGTTCCACAATCACAATTTGCGACGCCTTTTTTGTCCAAAGAGAAGATGAGCTGCGTCGTTGCGAAACAGCTGCAAAGCTGAGAAGGCAATCTTGTAGTGTGGCTTTTCGGGTTCCTGGTGCTTGGCCCTCGCTTGTCGGCTCCGGTTCGGGCCTGGGGTAGTCTCCGTGCATTCAGCGGTGGCGAGTTCGGGTCCGCTCTGGGGCAGTGGGAGGCCGGGAGGAGCAGTGGTGGTAGCAGAGTAGTAGTAGTAGTAGTAGTCGTAGTAGTAGAAGTAGTAGTAGTCGTCGTCGTCGTAGTAAAGTAGTAGTAGTAGTAGTAGTAGAAGTAGTAGTAGTAGTAGTAGCAGCAGCAGCAGCAGTAGCGGAAGTAGCAATAGCGGCAGCAGTAGCAGTCGCCGTCGTGATCGTGATCGTCGTCGTCGTCGTAGGCGTCGTAGCGGTCGTAGTCAGCGTTGTCGCCGTCATCGTCATGCAGTAGTGACCGCTCACTTGTTGCAATGCTTGCCTACGTTCGCTGCACTTTGTTGCATGGTTGCCTCGCGGCCGCGGCTGTCATCGACGTTCTTGATAGCAGCTACCTTTCCCAACCTGCACCACATCGCGATAGTGCAAGAGAACTGCTTAGAAGGATAGTCTGCGAGAACTGTTGGTAGTATTGCATGGATGTCGGCAAGAATTGGCAAGAAGTGCAGCCAGGGAACTCAGTCTTTTTCAGAGCCGGTTGGGATTGCTTGCCAGTAATGCTCTTTGACGAATGGTTAGGAGTCCTGGCGCGCAACAGGGAATAGATGCTTGCAGAGAACGTGGAAAAAACCGTTGACCACTGCGAGCCTACCTACACCTAGAAGCATGATTGTCTGAACTCGAGACGGGGGGGCAGCATGCAGAATGGTCTACAAACCGCAACTCAGAATACGGCCACCGCAGCTAGCAGCTAGCAGCAGCATAGCAAGCCCAAGTACTGCACAGGCGAAATTGCTTACATCCTGATTCTAATTGCCTGCACACCGGGGAAACTTGCTGGCCATTGGCTACAGCCGTCATCCCTAAACGACCCGCGAGTCAAGATTGTCCCGAAAGTCATTGTCCCTGTCGCCATTGAGCCTGGCAGGACACACACTCGAGTCTCGGGCAACAACCCAAAGCCGACCCCATTTTGACTCATGGATCGTTGCAGCCCCCAGATGTAGTAATTAATGCAGATGCTCGCCAGGGCACAGTCGCTACCCTTTCGCATTAAGCGCAGTCGGAGAGGGCGATCTCTCAGAAGTGGCAACAGTTCCTGCAGCTGCTTTGTTTTGTCTTCGGGCCCTTGGGGATGTAGCAAGTCCCATGTCGACAGTCGGCCGTGGCGTATGTTAGGTCCGTGAAAGAACCAGACGATTGCATGTCTCTCCTCTCGTGGACGCCCTTCCGTCTCTGTGTCGTTTATGGCCTGAGCAGGTCCCGTTGGGATGACTCAAGCGACGCGACACCACTGCCAGTACCATGCATGACGGTAGGGGTTACAGATCATGCAGAGACTGCTGGGTGGGCTCATTTGTCTGAGCAAGCTGCAAGAAGTAGATCTCCAGGGCAAATGCCAACAACTTCGGCTGCCGTGCCCTGCGGAATTGCTGTATGGTGGCAGGTGCGTCAGGACAATTCATCCTTGAGATCAGGCCTCGTCCACCCTCTGTATGGTGGGCCTGAGCAAGGCTGGAGTAATTAAGAGTGCTTCAAGATTTCCTGGCCAGGCGCCTTTGTGCGCTCCACGCAACTCGTAGGCCCAGGTGCTTCACCTGCAGGCTTTTCATTCTATTGAAATTCCGCTGCAAGTGTCGGGCTGGCCGTTGCGATCGCATCTTGAAGCTTAGATTGCAGTCGGATGCAGCACAGGTCAAAACATGACAAATACAGGTTCACCGGTTCATCGCACTGCACGCTGGACAAAGGTTAAAGGCTGACACTCTCCGGAATGCCACCTCCTCGCCAAAGACCTTGACGAAAGGCTCCTGAACGACAGGATACGACAGGTCTCACTGAGCCGAAGGACCCGCTGAGGGACTCTGCGGGGACAATCACAGGTTCGCGAGATCATTCGCGGCTGCCTCGGAAAGCGCGACTTGCTCCAGGCTGATGGGTGCGCAGTGCAGCCTCGGATTCAAGCCAGGACATCTAAGTAGAGACAAACAGCGTCATAGGTTCGATTCAATCTGCTTGCGCGTGGAACTGGCCACCAAGTGCCAAAGGGCCGAAAGCAGTTCGGTGCCCGTTCCCTTCTCGGGCTTACGTGGTCGATAGCAGAGCACAAGCACAACAGTACAGAGGGTCTCTCAGCAAAAGCAACTGCGAAAAGAGCGCAAACCGATGTCACCCTAACGCATTTTGGGCCGGTGGAGGAGCTGCGCACAGTAGTACTGTAGGATAAGGTGTCTGCTGCGCAGCCTATGCGACGCGAACTCCCAAATCACCTATTGAGCCATTGCAACAACCCCCCCCTTTAGAGAATACAAACATTGACAGAGTTTTTCACAGTGGCCCAATCAACGGTCCCAGTCTGCTTCGGCCTGGGAACGCCTCCGGTTCCAGAACTCGATCTGCCATTGGGATGTGGAGCATGTCCGCCACTTCCTGCTGCGACTCCGGATTGGCACATCGAGTCTAACGACGCAAGCCTGGTGGAGCAAATAACATCTCGGCTCACACACGAGGATAGCTTTGAATCATCTTCCACTACCCGCCATGTGAAATCAATGCTGTCGCCATCATGCAACGCAGTAGAGCGACATCTTTGCCGTTGCCGAAAGGGTGACAGGCCTTCCGTGGAGCTGGGGCGAGGTCTTCTCCAGGACACCTTCGAGCGGAAAAGGAGGCGAAGTTTCCGAGGTCCCTTTTTTGGGAAAACGGGGCCCGCCTCCGAGTTCCTGCCAGCTCAGCTCTCAGGTCGTCGACCTGCTGCTGCAGCTCCGACACAACCCTGTCCTTGGAGAACACACGGCATCAGCTCGGCTCTTGTGTGCTGCCAAGAACTTCTTACTGCCTGCCCAAGAGCATGGGTGGCCACAAGGTCCGCCACCAGCAGATGGAAACCGCCGGCCGTAAAGTCGGGATCGGTGACCGACATTTCGACCACACAGCCCAAACTCTCCTAGTCTCAGCCTTTCTCGCTTCATTGTATTTCATTATGTTGCGCGTATACTTCCAAAGTTGGCTACTGGCAAGAGGCCAGCTCTTGAAGCTTCTGTTACGATTTTGCATGTTGGGCAGGCTTGTTGCTGGGTTCTGCCCTGATGTGCTTTGCAGCCAAGGTCTGTTCATGCTAATCCCAGCATTGTTGGTGCCAATGGATATCCAACAGCTTCGGAGCCGGACAACCGAACGTAAAAACCATGTGCACGGGAGCCCTCGTTCTAGCATGTTTTAACCTGATGGTGCACACGTCTCCGGCAAAGACGAAACGAAGCACATCGCGCAGCTCTGCCATGTTTCTCCGCGCAATTCCGCGCAGTGAGCAAGCTTCTTGAGTCATCTTGAGTCTTGGGAGTGGTCAGCTCATCGTTCCATGTCAAACGGCGACGGAGGTCATGCTACGGCTTTTCACGACAGTGGATGGGCATCAGCTGCAGCACGAGTCGGTGATGTTCGCCGCTTAGCAGTGATGTTGCATCCGCGAAGTTCGTCGCCGCGAGGGTCTTCAGGTTCAGCGCTCCTGTCGAAGCAATTGTCGAGGACTATCTTCACTGAAAGTACAGTTTTACCGTTCGCTCTCTGCAAGGAAAGGTACAGGAAGATACAAGTGGAACGGTTTGACAACCTTGCGGCCTCCTCCGCTACTTCTGATGAGGAATACTGAACTGAGCAGCGTTGGCCCCGATCTCTGCCTCAGCCCGAAAATACGAGCAGCCCAACTGAACAACACGATCTTCACTGCGGCAATCACCGCAGCAAACTCTTAGAAACCCTGACGCAAACCAAATTCGCTTCTGGTCCAGCCCTGCTCGGTGCACCTCGTGTGTGCTGTGTCCTAATGTGTATCAGGTGGTCATAGCTGACGTGACAGCAGCGACCCTCGTCTAGATGCATACTCGTTGCTGCGATATCCGCCTCTGTTGCCCAGGGCGGCCCAAAGAATGCTGGCCTTGCATCAGCCCAAAATCCGGGTGAATGCACTGAGTAGGACTCACGGCCTCACCGCATTGACACGATGTCTTCTGTGCTCTGCGGCTGTTTTCATGTCTGCTGAGGCTGACGGAGCGCGCACCTCGCAAATGGGATCGTCAGCCCAGTCTTGAAGGACGGCCGCTCGTGCAGGTGCTGCAACCAGGCCTGAGGAGCCCGGGCCCATGGCATGGGCGTCTAAGACGGTTAGGAGTGCCAAGCGAGTCTGATGAGTCTGATGACCTGAGCGAACCCGGCCTGGAGGTTGAGCATGCAACCGATGTCGATGCAAGCCCAATATGCACTTGCAGCCTCAGCTCTTGAAGACTTTGTCTCAAGCGCAGCCAACGCCAAGATTAGGACCATCTTTGAAGCGCCCACAAGGGTGACTTGAAGAGTGTCCGACGTTCACAAAAGAAACATACCAATGATGGGCCGAAGCACATAAGCAAAGCAAGCAATATCGACTACAGACACCTGATCGGGGAAAATGCTGACGCTGGCTTTACAACTGCTTCTTGCATCTCGTGCACAGGATGCGGATGATGCTAATCTTGAGAACACTCGTTGAACATACATATATGCAGCGATGGGAGGCATTGATGCAGCATTGATTGACGTTCAGTGGCCATCTTGCTCCCAGTCGAAGGCACTGAAATGGAATGGGTTTCGCATAAGAGATCTTCTGCTCTTCTTGCGACGTCAACTTGATGTCAACCGCTTAGCCCACTAGTACTAGTAGTAGTAGTAGTAGTAGTAGTAGTGGTAGTAGCAGCAGCAGTACGAGGAGGAGGAGGAGGAGGAGTAACAGTAGCAGTAGCAGTAGTAGTAATAGTCGTCGTCGTAGTAGTTGTAGTAGTGATCATAACAATCCTAGTATCAGAAGTAGCAGCAGGATGCTCTCTTCTCAGAACGGATTAGACCATAAACATCATCATGGTTGGGCCATGGATGCTCTTTTCTCAGGACGGCCTAAACCATGCACATCATCATGGTTGGGTCATGGATGCTCTCTTCTCAGGACGGATAAAACCATGCACGGCATCTTGGTTGAGCCATGGATGCTCCCTTCTCAGAACCGACTAGACCATGGACGTCATCATGGTTGGGCCATGGATGCTTTCTTCTCAGAACGGATTAGATGATTAGACTCCATGGACAGAAGAAACACTGCAAATACTGATGGTGTTGGTATTGCAAACAAAGGAAACGCCGTAAATGCCAAGGGTTTCGGCACGCGCAGAATTTCGTGACTTTGGAGGCGCCGGGAACACCGACGGAACCGGTATATTCGGGACATGAAGTAAGGGAAACACGAATCGGCATGTCGGTTTTGCGCGACATGGCGTCCAAGTAAACCGTACGTTGCCGTTCATGGGCCGTGCACGCGTTAACATACCGGCTCAGCGCTGTCGTTGATGTTGTTGTTGTTGTTGCCGCTGCTGCTGTTGTCGTCGTCGCCGTTACCCTAGACCCTAAATCCTAGACTAAACCCTAAACGCAATGCTATTGATGTTGTTGTTGCTGCTGCGTAGTCGTAACCGTATAGTAGCGTCGTCGACGTAGTCGTAGTCGTTTTTGTCGCCGCCCATGGTAACGACTATAGTATTCAGAAATGACTGGATGGAAGGCAGTCGCAATCTGAAGCAACAAGAATAGCACCACGATGGCGACGACCACCACGACGAATGCTGCTGCTGCTGCTGCCGCTGCTGCTGCTGCTGCTGCTGCTGCTGCTACTGCTACTGCTACTGCTACTGCAGTTGCTGCTACTGCTACAGCTCCTCCTCCTCCTCCTCCTCCTCCTACTACTACTACTACTACTACTGCTACTGCTACTGCTACTACTGCTACAACAACAACAACAACAATTTTCAATTGAACGCTGCGCGAGCGTGCTCTGCGCTTGGGGGGCGCTGGACTTGGCCGACACTCGGTGAAACCTTCTGAAGACATGTCCGAATCAACTCAAAGTAGCTCCTGAAGAAAACACTGCACCTACCTGCTCGAACGAGAACAACACTCGCTGCCTAGGCATCACTTGAATAAATGAGGGTTGAGACGGATGTACAACCTCCGACACCCTAAGTGTGTACTGTCGCGTCCGACGCACACGGACCAACGTCTGTTGAGTCGTACCTTGAAATCAAGGCCGGGTCTCAGAGTGNNGGAAGCGCATGAAAGGCAAAGCAGTCGCTGATATCCTGTCGCGGGCTGGGCAGAAAGCAGAGCTGTTGCACTTTTTGAAGCCAGCGTGACAAGCTGTGCTATGCAGTACTAGCGGCAGACTGACCCAAAAGAAGCTGCAAAAAGGAGGGCAGGACTGGCAACTCAAGGGAGCGCTTGGACATGGGCACGGCACAATGCGTGCGCAGAATGTTCGAGCACCTTTGAGGTGCTGCGGTATGGGCTGCGCCCTACAGCAGGGAGCTGCGCTCTGTTGTTGCCCTGCAGATTCAGGACCGGGACCACGAAGAACCATACCAGGAACTTGAGGATGGCCTGTCACTGGAGGCGCCTCTGTGCCAGGATTGGTCCATGCTTCATTCCAGGACTGTCGGGAAGGTTGAGAATCTCTGGATCTCTTACTACCCCTGGCAACCCATTCAATGGCTCGCTTGTGACGCTCGGAGAGACCGGTGCGAGGGTCGATGTTGGCTTCCGCGTCGTGCACAATGCGAACCCCAAGATCAGGGTAACGCCTGCGGAGCATCCGACATGGCAACCCGGCTTCCTTGCAGAAGTGGTTGTAAATAGCCATGAGGGTAGTGGAGATCATATCGTAGATCTTCCAATTGTCAGATTTGGAGAGATGGCGCAGCGTGTAGTAGCGCTTGAAGTCGGGGTGGTCCCACATCTTGGCAAACAAGGCGCCGACTAGGCCATGCATCTTTGTCGGTCCGTCAAGCTCCTCGTAGGAAGGGCCGTGCCCAACAGCAACAGTGACCTTGCCGTCCCTGGTCAAGACCTGGCGGAGAGTAAGAATGCGCTCCCACTTCAAGCCACGGTCCGTCCTGACGCTGGTAATTGCTTTGAACAAGGCCGGGACCAGGGAGATGTCACGAACGCGTTTTGACCAAAGCGGACGCTGCTCCTGATGCTGAAGACCTCCCAGGACCACCGGTGAGCCCAGCACCTGAAAGTTTGCCAGAGCCCTGATCCAGCTTTGAGTGGCAGCCGTTTGCAGCTCCAGCAGGACGCCTTCCTTGGTCAGAGGAATGTCCTCATAGTCAGTGAGCTGGGGGAGGTACGACTCCTGCTGATCTGTCATCTGAGGGGGCTCGTACTGAGGGGGGGGAGGCGGAGGGGTTTCAGGATCTCTTGCTCATCCGGCGCCGAGGATGAGGCCCTGGCTTCTCCGGTTCGCGAGTGGGAAGGCGGTTCAGATGCCGGGGTTTCAGGCGTGGAGGTGAAATTGGGAGGGGGGAAGGGAGGCGGCAGGGGGCGACCACTGGGGACAGGAATTGGGGTAGGGGGGGCATACCCTCCAGACGTGATGGGAGCCGCTGGCTGGGTGGGACGCGGGAAAGCCGAGAAGGGTTGGGGCTTGGGAGCCGGCGGGGACTGGGGTTCTGCAGGGCGGACCGCACACGGGGGAGGGGCCTTAGTCTTCGGCGGGGGAGGAGGGGCTGCGGGATGGGAGCGAGCAGCAGGGTCCGAAACAGGCTGCTTGGGGGAAGGTGCCGGCTGAGGTTCCCGCACGTCGTGCTTGGCTCGCAGGAAATGGTTGCGCAGTCCATTTCCAGTGGGGAAGATAGTATGCTGACCGATCTGGTTCTTGCTCTTGCCGGGAGCGCAGCAGAGGTAGCCCGGCTGGTCCGATGACAAAGCCAAGCCTCTCGGGATCAACTCCAGGACGTCCTGCTCGTTGAGGTCCTTGTTGTAGTATTTGGAGGCTCGGACCACTTCCATGATGCGAGCAAAAGAGTTGTCCTGAATGCTGGACTCGACATGCTCAACGATGTCCTTGGAGGCGGGCATTTGAAACTCAAAGGCCGCCCCCTCTACGACATCGGGCTGAGAAGGCTGAGCCTTGGCCGGGGGGCTGCGCCCTGCTGCGCCTGCGGATTTCGGTTGTGCCGCAGTGGGTGGGTCCTGCACCAGTTTCATTTCCGCCACGACCGTCGGAACCTTAGCGAGAAGAGCCTCGCCCGTTCGCTCCTTAGTGGACGGGTCCTGCGGAAAGCCTTGGCTCCATCCCCAGCATCTGGTAAAGGCCACGGGCGTTCTGTCGGCTGTGACGAAGTAGTGCCCATCGTTCTTGACAGGAGCCCGGTGCGGGTAATTGCTGTGCTCCTGGAGCAGGTAGATCGGACCATACGTCGGGCTGAGATTCCACCCCACCTTGGGCGGGCACTGCATATCCCGGTGAAGGGTGGAATACAGGAACTTGCAGAAGATCATGTACTCGATCGAGGCAACTCGCATTCGAACCTGACCGCCAAAAGCGTGCTGAATAGCCATGCG